CTCAGGGATTCTTCTTGTGAGCCATAAATATTCCCATACTACAATCGCTGTCTGGATGGACTTAAATATTCCCATACTACAATCGCTGTCTGGATGGACTTAAGCACTTAAGAACACTTGGGTTCTTGTCTACTGATAATGTTTAGATCTCTCTCTCCACTCCTGAACTCAGACCCACATTTTCAACTCCCTATTTGACACCCATATAGCACTTAACTCTATGCCAGCCAGTGACCTAGATGTTTTTGGTACAGAGTAGAACAAAACCCTCACAGAAGGCCAAATGAAATCAAAAGAGTCCTTTGAAATGGGAGAGGAAGGCAGAAGAGGACAGAGCAATGGGGAAAGAGGAGGACTTAACTAGCTTTGAGGATGAGGGGAAGGGCCCAGCAGCTGAGGAAGAGAGGTGATTTCTGGACACTGTAACAAGATTTTTTCCCTGAAGCTTCTAAAAAAGGTGTACTTTTTTTTTTTTTTTTGAGACAGAGCCTCAAGCTGTCCCCCTGGGTAGAGTGCTGTGGCATCACAGCTCACAGCAACATCCAACTCCTGGGCTCAAGCGAGTCCCTTGCCTCAGCCTCCCAAGTAGCTGGGACTACAGGCGCCCACCACAACGCCCGGCTATTTTTTGGTTGCAGCCGTCATTGTTGTTTGGTGGGCCTGGGCCGGATTCGAACCCACCACCTCAGGCACTTGAGCCACAGGCCCCTGAGCCAGGGATGTACTTTTTGCTAAAACCTTGATTGTAGCCCAGTGAGACCCGTCCCAGAATTTTGACCCCTAGAACTGTAAGAATCTAAATTTGCATAATTTAAGCCAAACGCACACACACAGACACACATGCACTAATGTGTGAACGGGTGAAGGAAGGGGAAGACAGATTAATAAAATTTAAAAATAAATATGTGCTATGTTGCATGACACCTAATACTATGACAAATGTAAGTTAGGGAAGAAGGCTGGGACAAAATTTTGAAATGGTTTGGAGGGAAAGGCTTCACTGAGGTGACATTTGAGTGGGAATCTCCATTGGAGAAACACCGTCATTTGCAGGTGCCTCAAATTCAACCTGCTAACATGAACCTCCTTATTTTCCCCTCAAAATTGCTTTCTCGGTCCAGTCCTGTGGCAAATGGCAGGATCATGGACCAGCTCCTCAAGCAGGAGTTCTAGGAGTCACTTTCTTTGTATCCCCTCCTCTTTTCAATCCTGCTTTCCATGACAGTAAGTGTTTTGAATCCCTGTGCATCTGTCTTCCCTCCTCTACTGTCAGGAGACTGACACCATCCAAGACCGTTGCCTGCATTGGCCTCCCCGCACCCCAATCTTGCTCCACACTGTTCCTCCGCATTGTGGGCACAGCAATCTTCCTGCAGCATGCACAGAACTGGGCCCTCCCTTGTATAAAACCCTTCAACTCCATTCTGGATCTTCTGATTCAAGTCTAAACTCTACAGATATAAAATACAAGGCCTCTGTGCCTACCACTGGCCCACATTTTCTACTGTTCCTTTACAATGTATCAGCTTTATAACATATGACTCAGGATTGTTGAAAACTTAGATTGTTATTTTGCTACTGGGCCCCTGTGCTAGTCTAATGAGCACCCTGAGGGCTGGGTTTCCATCTCCGTGTTCTATCTCCAGGGCCAGGCAGAGGCTGGCACCCAGTGAGTGCTCTGTTCATTGAATGAAATTGGAACTGGCTAGTTTAACAAAAGCTGTTCTAAGACCATGGCTGTGTCTTGCAGGCCATAGGACTGAGATTCTTTTTGGCAATACTTGGTGGCATAGCTCTACCTGGTTATCATCCATTAGCCTGACATAATGAATTAGCCTAAAGTTGAAAAGGGAAGAAAGAGATTCCCAAGCATGAGTAAGGATGAGACATTTTATTTACACAATATTAACTAGAGTAGGGTTTCACTCATGTCTCAGCTTCAGTGATTAGTAAAATATTTTGTCTGAGTGAATTTTTCCAGACAACTAAACTTACCCCTGTAAGCACCAAGTTAATTTTTAAAAATAAACATTGACAGTGAGCATTCTTTCTATATATCCCAGATAAATCTCTCGCTTGCCTTACTAATCTGAGCTAACGGAAGATCATTTTCTCTCTTTAGAGACGTCACATAACAATAATTATCATCTTTTTCTGCATCCTTTCCCTTGGTCTACGAACGTATGGTCCACATTGTACTTACCTTAAAATAGAAATAAAAACTAAGTTATTGATATATAAAAGTTGCAAGCTCAAATTAAACTCCCTATTTCTAGTTTCTCTTAAAATAGAGAAGGGAGGTACCTGACCTGCAGCTCCATTCGGTCAGGGGGTGAGCATGGTGCACACCCCAAAGTCTCTGCCATTCTCCTTTATGCTATACCTGGCCAGTTCCTGAATGCAGTCGCACTGCCCAAACCAGGGATCTGGTTAATATGTTCTGAGGGAGGCCGAGGGAGGAGCAGAAGGGTGAGAACACAGCACCCATGTGGAGAAGGAAGTGCTAATATTGACAGTTTGGGAGGAGCCTGGTGATGCTGAAGGCGGAGGTGGTAAATAGCAGGAATTGGATAATGATAGGGAGTTTCCTCGGTTCAAATATATTTTTCCTCCCCAAATAAATGTTGAAGCATATTCGAACCCTATTAGTCAAATCAGGAATGGAAGGAAGGAAAAGGAAGGGGTAGAGATGGGCTTTGTGGTAAGTCAAGTGGTGGAAATGATCAATTACATTCACTTATCATATTGAATTCTTGATACTGATATGCTATTTTTCCCAAAGGGAATTTAATTAGCTTGTGACAACAGTTCAGCAGTCACGAATACTGTTCAAAGTAAGACGGCATTTCTCTGCGAGGTTGCAGGGCCACGTGACTATTTTGGGAAATTGAGTGAAAGGGAAGGGTTGCAGCAATAGTTTAAAAGTCCATGCGTGTTTGGCTGTTTTCCTGCTGCAAAGGCCACATTCCAGACAGAGTGCTGCTCCAACAGGGAGCCCTTTAGAAGGGAGAGAGCCATGAGCAGATTCCTGACGTGTGCAAAGTGTGAATGAGAAATTGCCTTTTGTTGTTTTCTCTTTTCTTTCTCTTTCCTTTCCATTTTTTTTTTTTTTTTTTTTTTTTTTT